GACCATTCGACTTCGTTAGCTGTTTTGCCCCCCCCCCCTCCATCCCTCTGCCAAGGAAAATCTGTCTAACTCACCATCACGGTAGATTAATCGTGTTCGCTGTTCACCTGTTGTAGTTAGTTATGCGTCAGGCTGTACGCATTTGCTACCTTCGACAGGGACGCTGAGCTTTATTTCGATTGTGCAACGCTCAGCGTAATTTCTGAGTTTATATGAGCGTTAATTGATTGATTTTCCACTAATTTGCCCCCTTTTGAATGCTCACAACTCCAATCTGCACACGTTTCCAAACCGACTAAGGGCGACTTTTCCCGATTATTTGAGTGAGGAGCGGTTGGCGGCTCATCACCTCTCCATCTCAGCAGTAAAACGATATAAATACCTATATGGACAGCCGCCCCGGAGACAAATGGTCCTGTGCAAACTACCCATGACTGTTGCGGAAGTGTTTAATTCAGGTTCGGGTTCCACTTATCGCATGCATTATACATACGGTCGTATAGTTTCAGCATATGATGCGCTCATTGAACTGCGGACGTCTCGTCCGAGACCCGTGGCATTCATTAGTGGTGGCATTTCTGAGGAGTTTCGTCCGCCTGGCGTGCACGCGGCACGCCAGTCGGGCCGGCCCGGTTCCTGCAGTTGTCCGTTGACAAAAGAGCGGACACTGAACGCCAGCCTCACACGCCAGCGTGTCGTTTTTAATTATCGCCCAAAAATACAGCGGCCGGGCGGGCGCATGCGGGCATGCCATTCCAACCAGCGGATAACATATATTTCCTTTATCGCTGTGATCGGTGGCCGCTTCAGAACACGTCGCCTATAGATAACCGCGTGACGAACGGCCGGATATTACTTTAGACGCATGTTCTTCCCTGCTATCACCACAAAGACCGAGCTATTGTGATCGCTGTTACCGACTAACTCACTGTGAAAGGAGCATGACGACTTTTTCGCTGTTCAGACTGTCTTAAACGATGTCTACAAGCGAAGCAGACTCACTGGTCTAAGTCGTGTCATTGTATAGGTGCTATGTTTAGATATGCTCGCCGATAACGCTGACGGAGAATGCGAACAATGACAGACAGCAAACACCTCCTCGGACATGATTCCACAGTTTCGACGAATCAGCCATTCTTTGCGTAACGCTTACCAGCAGCCTCACAGTTTTTTAACGATATCCAGTCATCGAACACATTATTAGGAATCAATCTTTGGTGAATTTGGTCACGAAGTGATATTGGTGCGGTTTATTCAACCATCATTAATTACCTTTCTTCTCGGTTTCCCCCTCCTCATGGTGTTGTTGTTACTTGGTTCGGTGACTAGTCTGCTCGTGTAACAATGGACAATCTTCAATGAATTTGTGTCTCATTTATTGTGCATGGTCAACGCTTGGCGTTTGTGATTGGGATTCAGGTTGTGCACTGCGCTTCATTAGCTATGTGGTGAATTTCCAGTGGCTCGTTTCCGGGAGTTGGTCCGCTCATCATTCTCCGGCACACGGTGCTGATCCGAAGTGGCCGCGTACCCGGCGCTGTTAACATGCAACTACCGGGCAAATGTATTCGCCGAGAAAGTCGCATTGCGTGGCGCGGCCTGCCGGCGGAGCTCACTAGTGCTGGTAGCCGTCAGGAGAACAGCGGTTCCGCGGCGGCTGACACGATCTCGGCCCGGCGGCGGGTGGGACGCGCCGGCTGTCGGGTACCCCTCCGATCGGATCGGCGCCGACTGCGATCGGACGCTGCCCTCTGGCTGCTTAGTGCTCACCTCATGTCCGCGGACCGTGTCCGGCGACGTGTTGTCGCCTCGTTGTCCGCAGACAGCGGCCAGCATCTGCCGGGGTGCTGCCAATGAGCCGGTGATGCCGGCCCGGTGGTGCGAGGTGATGTCATACGTGGATAGGCGCTGAGGACATCTGCAGTCTGGGCGTCCGAAGCTCCCAAATCAGTTGCGGCCGTCATTGTCTGTTCAACAGGGTCACATCAGGTCACAAACGATGTTTTAGTATAGCCCGATGGTCACATGGGGTGCTACCCACGTGCTAGGTCTGGAGTATGTCACCTTTGACTCCGAGCCTCGCCTGGCTCGCACGGTCATCATGTGCGTGTTGGGCGGGACCTCCACCAAGGAAAAACCCATCGGGCGCTGACATCGCGTCAAAAAGCCGTCTGCGCTTTTTGGGAGGCTAATGGGGGGCCAGACGAGCAGGTTTGATTTGCGGTGCGCCGGACGGACCGGGTTTCCTGTTCTGTGGACCGTGGGTGGACATCGCTGGCATTTGGTGGCGTTTTTGCGGGAGGGCTTTTGGAGTGGGCAGTGCGCTGAAGACCGGCGTTCGCCCACGCCCTGACCTGGGCTGACCCGCCGCGGTGGCCTGTCACGCAACTGTGGCCCGCTTTGGTCACAGGTGGTCACTGCGGTCAGCTCGCCACATCCTGGGGTATCACCAGATCGAGTGTCGTCACATGCATGTCGCTGCTTTGTTTTGCATTGTCCCGATTGGAGCTGCGGCCTCCGGGGACCCGCTGCTGAGGAGCCCCGCGCCGTGTTTGGTTCGATGCTGTTGATTGACACCCTTTCCCGAGCCGTTTAAACACGGAGCGGATGCTTCGGCACCAGTTGCACCAGCAGTTCGATGTTACTTGTTGTTTCTGAACCCCGGTGAACCGTTGCTCTATGACAGGCGAGAGACTGAACGAGCTATCTGGCTATGCTGAACAACACGGGGTTTCGCTGGCCGTGGCAGCTACCATACAGTGGTGAGGATCCTGTCAGGGTGTTGACGACAGTGATGACAGTGAATGGATGCTCGGTTACCGGCACCTGGATATCTCAGCTGGGTAACGGCAGCCGCGGCCGTCCGGGCATGATGTCGGCCGTCGGGTCGGAGGGGAACAAGAGATGGTCCCGCTGAGCAGCTGTGATCAATGGGGTGTGTCGGAGGGATGTCAACTATCGTCAGGGTCTGGCGGAGCTGAGAGGAGGGTAGGTGGGTGTCGACTGTCGGTGGATAGTGGACGGTGGACAGCCGGTGGGCGATCCTCGGTGACTGACGGCAGCTGCGGATCTGTGTGCAGTGGACGCTGCCGACGCCGCGCTGGCTGTAATGGGTGGACGGTAGGCAGAGGACAGAGGGCAGACCGGTGACTGACGTTCACTGCGGTGTCGGGTGTATGGTGGACGTAGGGCAAGAACAGCCGCAGAGAACAGAGAGCAGCCGTTGTCGGCAGTGACTGGCGTCCTCCGCGGTGTGCAGTGACTGACCCGGCGACATGGACGGGGACAGACGGCGTCGGCGGCCGGCTCCGGTGTCGGTCCGCTGCCGACACGGCCGTCCGTCACCGGCCACTCTCCGGTGTCGGTCCCCCGCGGCTGCGGCCACTGTCGGCCGTCCGTCACACGTGGCCGGGGACACCGCGAGCGGCTCCCATCTGTACCTTGCTCCGCCAGCTACTCGCCTCTGCCAGCTCCCCAGCTCTGACACCCGTGCTCCGACTCCGCCAGCTCCGTGGCTCCCGGGCTCTGCCACCCTGGGCTCGGCGGCTTCGTCAGCTCCCTGAGGTGTCTGTTACAACTTACTGGCCAGGCCGGGTGCAGTGCTGTCCGGACCCAGGTTACCCAAGACTATTTCCACGATGCCCCCGTTACAGGTTACCTATGTTACGTACCCAAGTTTCCCCACTTTGACTCGTGCCCGGCTCCCGATCTAGTGTTACTCCCAACCTGCCTTGGCCGATTCCTTCGGCCCTGACCTGCTATCACTTTTATCACTGCTTTCGATCTAATCCACTAGCTTACTGTCTTCTGTAGTCGGCAGTCCCACTCAGTCCCTTTCTTCCCCAGCTGTTTTCTTTTCCGCCTCTGCCATCGTCACCCTTACACCGAGCTGCCTTTTGGGGCGCTCTTCCGTCTCTAGGCGGTGGCACGTGCCCGCTACCGTTCTAGAGGCGCCGTCCTTGCTCCCCTATCGGTCGCTGTCGGGCCATCATTTTTGGTGCGGACCGGCCCGTTTCGTCCATATACGAACTCGCTGGATTCTCGCTTTCACGCGTGGCATTGGCGGCCGGTCGGTGGGTCGGATATTATGCGGCTGCACCGGTTGAGGCGGGTTTTCGGGTCGGATTGTCGGATCGGCCGGCGGGGCGGGAGCGCCGCTGCACGCATATGCGTAACCAGTGTGTCAGGGTCGGCGCGAGCCGCGGCGGAGGGCCGGGGATCGGTGGTTATCGCGCGACTCATCTGGGCCGGAGACGGAGCAGGAGACGGGACGGGCTGGTTGGACTCCGAGGGCGGGTACCGCTCTGCTCCGCCTGGCGAGCACCGTGACAGATTAACCCAGGTGCGCGGGCCGCTCGCACACACGCACCTGACCGGGATTAGCACGGAAGGCGCCCGAGCCGGTGCTGATGGGGAATCATAAGTGACGCACTCTCCCTCTCCACCGCTGCCGCCGCCCGCGCGGCAGAGAACTGGTGCTTCTGAGCTGCATAATACTGTAACATCGCAGTCGATTCAGGGCCGATGGGGAATGACATTCTTGTAGCCGAAAGTTTGAAGTCCTGTTCGTCGAGGCGGGCGCCACTCTCACTTTGGAATACATTTTCCTGGACGGTATCGGCAGCATCTTCACCCACTCGCACGACATGCTGGCGTTCTCAGACGGGGCTGTCCGAAGATCGTGCGGGGGCTGCCGGGTGGCGCCTGATCTAGGCAAGATCAAACCCTTTCGCCAAATTAAACACATACCTTTTTATATCCGGGTCTGGTATCAGTGATACGACACGTTTTTTTTTTTTTGTCGTGGCATACCTATCTACCTACAAAACATTCGGGGTGCAAAATGACCACTGCAGTCGACTTGCCATGGAGACCCAATAAAGCAAACACCAACATTGCCCCCTAGTGTTTTTCCCTTGTAGTGTCGGTCTGATGTCAGTCGATGAATTTCGTTGTCTGTTAGGCAATGTCTGACCGTTTCCGTGTCCGTGTGCCCGCAGGCCTACGAGCTATCCACTCTGACGGGCACCCAGGTGATGCTCCTCGTGGCCTCAGAGACTGGCCACGTCTACACGTTCGCCACGCGCAAACTGCAGCCCATGATCACCTCCGAGGCTGGCAAGGCGCTGATCCAGACGTGCCTCAACTCGCCGGACCCCTCGGCGTCGGCGCCCGGCACGGGCGATCAGCGCATGTCGGCCACCGGCTTCGAGGAGACTGAGCTCTGCTACAACATCAACGAAGACGAGCAGAAAGTAAGGCAGATGATGTACGGTGTGGGCGTGGGCGGCGGGGCGCACCACCAGTACCACCAGCCGTACCCGGCGGCCATGTCGCCGCACCACGGCTGGCACGTGCCGCCGCCGCCGCCCACGCCGCACCCGGGCGCACAGCACGTGGCGCACGGCAGCCAGCCGTCGCCGTCGCACGTGTCGCACGTGCCGCTGGGCCACGCGCCGCTGCCGCCGCACAGCCCCATGCCGCCGCACAGCCCGCTGCTGTCGCCGCCGCCCGGCCAGATGCTCTCTGGTATGGGCGGCCACGGCAGCCTGCCGAGCGTGTGTCGGTAGGGGGCTGGTGGGCCGCGCGGCCCGCACCGCACCGCATGGGGCCGCGCCCGCGCCCGCCTCTTCCTCCACCACCCGCCGCCGTCGGTCGGACGGACGGGCCTAGCTGTAGAGCCAGACGAGTCGCCGCTATGTGCCTTGACGTGCTGCTCCCGCATGCCTCCGACGGTCGCCGCCTTCGCCCGTCAGTCTTCTCCGATCTGGGTGTTTGCCCGTGCTTGTCTGCGTGTCTGTGTGTGTCTGCTTGTGTGAGCTGTGCACGGGTGTGTCGCAGGCTGACGCTTTTGCACCGTGCACCGTGCTTCTGTCGGCGAGTCGGCTGTTCGGCCGGCTGAAGATTGCAGGGGAGGGAAAATGAAGGGAGGGAGGAGACAGCTGTGCTTGTCTCCACAGAGGCCGGATGCCTAACCAAGCGCCTCACCGTTGTTATCACGTCTACCTTTGATAAGGCATTAACCACACACACGAGTGGGTAACTCAAAGCGGGTCAACCAGCGCAGGTGTGCTGCCTCTGCCGCCGGGCTGGGGTCCGCGCGGCGCTCCCGTCCACGGCCTGGGTCCCTCTCGTCGGAAAATCGCTCGCCCGGTGGTCGCGCCGGGCTGGGAGGTCGGTGGGTGGAGGGCGGAGGGACGAGTAGTTTCCGAAATGGTCGGGTTGGGAGGGAGCGGGTGGAGCGGGTTTGGAAGGCCACCCGGGGAAGGATGCGCTGGATGAAACACCTGCGTGCCCTGCCGGCCGCGCCGCGCCGCCCCGGCCGCTGCGGCACCATCTAGTCGAACGGTGGTCTGCGCGCGCTGGTAGCTCACCAGTGGTGCCAGCGGCCGCCGGCGGGTGGCCCGGTGGGCCGCGGGCGGCGGGCGCCCGGTCAGGTCGGCGGCGGCGCGAGCGTCGAGCCGGGACCCTCCGTTCTGGATCCGCCGCCGCCGCCGGCCCGGCCCGCCCACAGCACCGCACCACTAATTGGTCGTGTAATCAATGATGGATGGCGACTGAGCGCCGAACTGGGCTGCTCGCGGACCCAGGGTCAGCCGCCGCCGCCCCTGCCCCCGCCCCCGCCCCCGCCCGCCGCCGAGCGGGGTCCCATTCGGACAGACTGACAGACTGACAGACTGCCGCCCAGCCTTGGTCAGATCGTACTGCCTCCGCCCAGTGTCACCATTCTACAGAACCCCGAGCTGCTGCCGGGTCCCCTGAAATCCACCCGAGCGCCCAGCCCCGCCGCCTGTCCACCCCCATTGTCGTGCATGAGGGACGACTTCCATTTCTTGTCCGGCCAGCCCGCCCGCACACCTGTTACGCAAAGTCGCGCCGCCCGACACGTCTCGTCACGTTTTTGCACCGGTTATTCGTGTCCTATCGCGGTCCGTCGTTACGCGTGGTCGGGCCGCTGCCGTCACCGCCGTGTCGCCGGGTCTTTTTGTGCCTCCCGTCACCTGTTACCGACATCGCGGGAAGAGAGATAACTGACTGAAAGCCAGTCGTCCTTTTAATGCGGAGCTATGTGATTATCTTGGCTTGTAGGTACCTTTATTTCTTCTCCTGTCTTTAAGTTTTCCATCGCTTTCCAAATTTGTATTTGTGTTTACCAATTCGGTGTCAAATCATGTGTTCTCCTGGTTCATCATAAATTATATCCAGGCTCCATATCACAACCCGGCATTCTCAGTTGGCTTCACTGCCGCCGTGGACTGCCCTATTTCAGATTAGTCTTCCCCCAGTCCACCGTGCCTGCCCTCTCCCCTCGTTGCCCGTCCCGTGACCCGCCGTGACCCTGTGTGGTGTCCGTGACCGGCGGCTCCCCGTCGGCTCCCCGTCGTCCCCCACCGGCCGGCCAGACTCAGTCTCCGGACCGCCGACGCGCCTCTGATCGATGGCTGACGAACCGGCGCCGATTGCTTCTCTCATCCATAACGCGCCGTTTAATTTCCAGGGCGTGCCGAGCGGCGGCGCACGCCGGCAAATTACATTGTAATGAAGTGGGTCGGTACCGGAGTGTGTGTGTGCGGCCGGACGGGGCTGTTGTTGGCCGGTGGTGGCGGCTGTCTCTGGTCTACTGGGCTCGCGCCGCCGCCGCCGCCGCCACCGCCGCCGCCGCCGCCGGCCGCCGATCTGGGCCCGATTAATAGGCGCCAGGGTGTCACGCCGGCTATCGGGCCATCGGCTTATTGTCGCCGAGTGCGCCGGACGCCACCATTATTTAGATGCGACCGCGGCCGCCGTCGTATTGTGTGAAGTCGGATGATTTACATAGCGGCTGAATGGCGACCGAGTGACAGGAGGGGCCGCGCCGCGGGGCGCCGCGCTATCGCCGCCAGTGTCGCCGTATCGCCGCTATCGCCGGCCGGCCGATATGGCCGCTGACCTGGCAGCTCGCCCTGGGCGGCGGTCAGGTCACCGGCGGACGGTGCCGCGGTGTGAGGTCGCTCTCGGCGCGCTGCGTCGGCCGGTGTCGTCGGCGCCCGGCTGCGTCCGACGGTCCGTCCGCCGCGGCCGCCGCCGCCGCCAGCTGCGCCCGATGCGGCGGAGATAGCGGCGGCGCGGCGCGCCGTGTATGCGTGCGGCGGCGACCGTCCGACTGCAGCGCGGTTATTTATGAGAGCGGCGATGACTGGCGGTTGCCGGTCGGCGGCCGAGCTGCGGGCCACAATCGGCGCGGCGCGGCGCCGAGCCGCTCGTCTTCATCAGCGGCCGGCGTCACCGGGGCCGGCCGCCGCGGCAGATAATCGGCGGCATCACGGCGCCCGGCGGGCCGCCTATTCAGCTGTCGGCGGCGCGTGCGCGGCGCGTGGGGCGACACGAGCGGCCTCCCGCGCCGTGCCGCGCCGCTCTGATGCATGGCCCATGGTGACCGGCCGGCCGGCCGACCCGCGCGGCCAGGTCACCGGACACGTCAGAGGCCGGACCGGGCCGGTCGTGCACCCATCTCCCAGCTGTGCACTGCCCCGCTGTCGGTGATTCCGATCGGCCAAGCACCGGGCATAAAGCGCGGCCTTTTAAAGCCGGCCGTTTATAGTGGCGATCTATTTGGGCCGTCAGTGACGAGTAAGCACCGGCGACTACGGCGGGCGGCACACCGCCGGGCGCCGGCGCTGCGGGTGTGTCGTCCCTATTGTTGGTGCTCTCTGCTCGCCACTGCTCTGTTCACCATTCAGTTCATGATCCGTGCCTCACCCCGCCACCTGCCGCCCGACTTCCGGCGCTCCGCTGCTCCTGCACCCATGTCTCGTCTCTCCGCACCGCGCCGGCGCCACTGACACCGTCCGCTCCACGGGCGCTGAGTGGTTCACTGGCCGGGCCGGCACTCTTCATGTACCGCCGATGCACCGCGTCGCACGTGGACAGCCAAACGCGACCCGTCGGTCAGCATTCATTACTGTCCGACGGGGAAATAGAAACCTGCAGCACCGTCGACACGGGCCCGTGGCCTCCCCTTTTTACGTTGGGAACATTGTCATGCAAATTGACGAGCACCGTTCAACCATTAGTTACCGAAAGAACCTGGTATGAAGATCTTTGTCAAAACCCGCTCGGTTTTTTAGCGTTACAAATGTTTTGCTCATTTAAATGAACTGCACATTCATGTCAAAAAAGACGCCGGAGCCGTTTTCTGTCGTGCAAGTTTGTAAGGAAGTAACGGCAGTGTGATAAAAATTCGCAAATTGTCAACCGCAAACTGCGGCTTTGAGACCTTTCCCGCTTCATTGTTCTGTGTGGCCGTCTGTGTATACAGCACCGTCGCTCCCGTCCCTTGCCGGCGCCGCCCCGTGCCTCCATGACCTGACCCGCCGCGGTGACCCGCTCCCGCCGGGGGGTGACTGCGCCACTCTGTCAGCCAACCGGCGCGCGAAATTAGCTCGACTTATGCATAACCGACACCGGCCATAAACGTCGTCGTCTGTTTATGGCCAGTTTCGCCACGTCTCGGCCGGCGGGGCGGCTCCGCGCCGCCGCCGGGCCGCGACGAGCTGCTCTAATTGATTGCGGACGCTACTATTTATGGTCATCGGCCGCGCCGGCGCCGGCTACCGCGTCCAGATGCACGCCGTCCGCGCCAGACGATTTATGCCGAAATGGTGGCGTTCTGTATTCAGCGTCCGAGTTGGTTCGATGAGGAGGTGGATTTATGTCGCGCGGTGTGCGGCGCGACCGGCGTGCTGCGGCCGGCTTATTGGGTGTGCTCAGAGCGGCCGCCGGCCGACCGCCGAGCTGACCCAGCGTGACCCGCCCTCGGCGGCCGCGCCGCGCCCGCCCGCCAACTGATTAACGATGTACCGCGTCAGTGGCGCACCGCAGACGAGCGCGCCGCGGCGGCGACGACAGCGGCGCGCCAAATGGCCCAGAGCGGTGATCATTTCTCTCCACCGCCGCCTCCGCCGCGTCGGAGACGTCCCGGCACCGATCGCCGCCCTCCCGGCCGGTCTCATGTTTTCAATTTCATGCCCGAATCGGCGACGGCGGCCGTCGAAACGGTCCGTCGATCGGCCAGGTGTGCGGCCGGCGCGGCCGGCGGAGACGGCGAGCGGCACGCGCCGCCGCCGCCGGCCGGCCAGCCCTTCATCATCGCGCCGCCGTCTCAGCGCCTCGTCGGCGATAAGGCGGCATTATCGGCGACCCGCGGCGCCGGCCGCCGCCGCCGCCTTATTTGGTGGCCGGTGCGTCGCGCCGGGATCGTCGCTCGTGCCGCGCG